AGAGAGAGAGATAGAGAGAGAGAGAAAAGAGGGAGAGAAAGAGAGAGAGAGAGAGAGAGAGAGAGAGAGAGAGAGAGACAGAGTATTGATGTGTGCACGTGCGTGTATATATTTAATCATGCCACTACAAATTTCTGATAGTGGAGATCAATAAAATGTCATCTATTTTGTGGTATCTTATCTTATACTATCTTATTCTACGCTACCATATCTTATCTATCTTGTGTTATCTTTCCACTCCAGCTATGTGCAGCTTCGAGGATGGCACTCTGTGCAGCTGGTCCAATGTGGGTGGGGATCAGTTTGACTGGACCACCCAGAAAGGCACCACTCTGTCCACCTCTACTGGCCCCAAGGCGGATCACACCCTGGGCAACAGTCAGGGTAAGTATAACTCAAGTTGTCCAATAGGGTCATCCATTGTCCAGGAGGAAAATGGTTGTCTTTCCGAGGTTGATGTCAAGGACAGTGTTGTTATAATATTTTAAAAATATTTCTTTACTACCACACCACCTCTTTACCTGCCTTGCACTTAGCGGTCGGTGTAGTACCTACCTACCTGCCTCCTCAGACATCGGAAATACTCTACACAGCGACAAAACACAGCTGATAAAAACCTGGAGATTCTTTGCCATATCGACAGGGGTAAGGGGTAGATCTCAAATGCAGCTGGATCGGGAAAGTAAAATAAGAGTATAATTTTTTTAAAAATTTGCACGGGGGAAGTGGGAAGTGTATTTTTTGTTCATGCTACTGTGCCGGTGGCCATTAGAGCAGGTTTGACTTTACTTATGTGAGGCATCGTCGTGAAATCAGGCGCTGGTCAAAATAACCAAATTGGAGAAACAGGCATTTTCCCACCAGTTTCGCAATTTTAATCAAATTTTTGTTTTTTTCTTCTACCGTTTAATGTCCAAATAAAAACACATTTCCATATGAATTATATTGAAAAAATATGCAATTTTACAGTTTTCAAGGACTCTTTTAGCTATTAAAGTTACCAAACTTTGGTGGCCATTTTCTCGCTATTTTTACTGCTGAAAGCAAGTGAACTTACCTCTTTCAATCTCAAATATTTTCACTTCTGCTCAAGATAGATGGGTGTTTTTTAAAATCAAAAACAACATAAATGAACAAGCTTTAAGATGATACCAATAACTCCACATACACAAAAATTGGCGAGTGCCCGATTCCACCGCTTCGTGACACATATGTTTCTCATAAAATAGAGTGTGAACAGTTTGCACCAATATATATACATCCTCCCCAGCTGTAAACAAGCATTTTTGTATGACTTTTAGGCACATACATCTACATTGAGACCAGCAGGCCGCGAGTCCAAAATGACTCCGCATATCTGCTCAGTGAGACACTGAAAGCCACTGGATCCACCCCATACTGCTTCAAGTAAGTATTTCTTCTTCTTCTTCTTCTTCTTCTTCTTCTTCTTCTTCTTCTTCTTCTTCTTCTTCTTCTTCTTCTTCTTCTTCTTCTTCTTCTTCTCC